TAAAGTAAATGTAACAATATCACACATATAAACCACAACAAGATTCTCGTAACAAAAATTTAAAAGACGCATTTAACAGTTAACAGGTGGCGCTAAAACAATTATATTTTATTTATTCACAAAATACATACAGTTAAGCAAAAATATGCCTGATAAAGATATAACATGAACTGCTTTTAATTTTAATTAGGTATATCTAGACCTAACATTTAATTCTACTTAATCATATTATCATTTTGGCGGGAACTAAAGTTTTCATTAAGTAGGTAACTATAGATGGCGTTCATACACATTTTCAAACTTTAAAGAATTCATATCATAATATAATATTAATTGAAGTATTTTTAGTCATTACGTTAGTAATTTAACTATTTCGATTTTGGCTATCTTCGTAATTGTATCCACTTTACAAAAAAAAAATATTACGCAACAAAACAAATACTAATTTTGATTAGGTATATAAAACTTAAGTAGCTCTATTGTAGTATAATTCTTGTAATAGAATACTTTATACGAAACAATTTAATGCAATGACTAGTTAGAGCACGCGGCGTATTTCGAATGAAATGATAATATTTAAATTTATTTATTTATTACACTGTCATTAATTTTTTCCCTAACTCAAACCAAAGCCTAAATATTGCTTTAAGTACCTAAACCATTAAGTGAACAAATTATTTATTTTAATAAAAAATAGCGAAACTTAAATTCAAACACTATTTATTAAACAAAAAGATCAATATGATCAAAACAATAATAAAACTTTTAAAACATTGTTTCACATCTTTCCAAGCAGCTCGGCATCCTCGAATGTATCAGGAACTCTTTTACCAAACGTTTCTGGTTGCGTTAGTACCAAAACACCTGCCAATGTACTCATCACACCAAACATCACCGACGGTATTCCCGACCAGTAGTCCATCAAAGGCGGTGTAAAGGACGCAATAACAGTTCCAATACGGCCTAACATCGAAGAAAAACCAAGGAACGAATGCCTATGTCTAGTCGGATACAATTCTGATGTGAACAAATAAAGGGATGTCATCACAAGGCCTGTACAGTATTTACCTAATAGATATAAACTTAATGATAAAACATAATACGACTTAGGCGTGAAGGCAAATGCGAAACAACACACTGCACACAGCATATATCCTATCAACAATGTCACTTTACGACCGAATTTGTCTAACACCAGATATGCCGTCCAAAAGCCTGGTATCTCTACCAAAGTTACTAACACGTAATTCAAATACATATTACCAGACAAACTGACAGAGTTAATCGTCAATCCGTAGTAGATAAATGTTGTCGCGATCCAGTAAATTGGTGTCGTACAACATCTTTTAAGCATGACCGGGGATTTTATAACGCGAAATATGAGATTTTCGTTTTCTGTATTGTTGTTATTACGAGGTATCGCGGTTAGTAAAAACTTCATCGATTCGTCATTTATCTTACGCCCATTTAACCGTGCTGCACGCTCCAGCGCAACCTGTGCTTCCTCAGTCTTATCTTTGCTTAATAGCCATCGGTGACTCTCACAAACGATCCAATAATATGAGAATACTACTGATACTGGTACAAAGTATGTCAATGTTAGATTACGCCAGTTCTCTACAAGCGATGCGATAGCGCCAACCAACGCTAAGCCTAAAGTAAACACTGAAGACATCATGCAACCAGCAGGTACACGAAATTTAGGCCCAACAATTTCTGCAGCCAAGATATACGCCGCACTGAAAATTCCACCACCGAACGCTGTGTGCGCAAACTGTGTAACGAGGTACATAACGTAATTCACAGAAAATGCCTTTATAATACCTATGACTACTATGTTAAACGCAAAGAAAACTATGGATATGCGACGGCCGAAATAGTCAGATACGAAACCTGCTAAAGGAAGAGCAACCATGGCTCCAACACTGTTCAATGTGATTGATAAGGTACGAATCCACTCTTGGCATTCGATGCCAAAATCGTATACAACAGAATTAGTTCTTCCATAGACGAATCCGTCACAGTTCACAATTTTCTTCTTATCAAATATCTGAGCAGGACATGTGTCGTTGTAGATAAGCGATGAATTTATCGGCGCAAATCTTGTGCAGTCCGCAAAACCGGTATCAGTCTTCGGCACTGCATTGAGTATCCAGTCGGGATCGTATACAGGAGATTCGCCATCACACTCTGGTATAGCACACCGAAGCGGCAGCCTGGCTGCGGTGAAATTGTAATCACCAGCGAGGAAACCGGAAGAAATCGCCGGTAACGCAAGCAATAGTAAATTTATCAGTTGAAATCTGCCAAATTGTCCCACTTCACGATTTAACACTTCTTCGAATTCCGCCGGCGTTTCTGTCTCTTGTTTCTGTGCCATTTTCTATCAACTATGCAAACAGTATAAAATATGAACGTTACATGATAAATTTCTTGGAAATCTGCGTTTATATGTGGTACTATATATTTCCAGTCGGTACAAAGTATCAATCCTTATCACTATATCTCGTCTGGTTTACAACTTATTCAGAATTTTATTATATCAAGGTAATATAATATTAACGTGACGACAGGTAACGAAGGAATATTGTTTCGCACTGTCTGTGTATCTATCGAGGCAATGCCCGAATAACAGGTTCAAGCAGGTTTTATTCGTCAAAAAATTTGTTACGCAAAGTACATTTCTCATCAATAATTTATCATTCAGACAGTGAAGGTAAATACTAACTCATTACTGTGATATGAAGACCTATTTTCGGGGCCGGATTTAGAGGTCTGGAGACAACAAAGCAGTGGAGGCCCGAAATTATTTGCCAAAAAAATTCAGTCGAGTTTTTCAATCAAAAATTTATTGTGAAACCAACTCGATTATTTTAGTATTAAAAAATATATAAAAAGAAAAGTTGTTTACTAGTGTTTACTAGTCGGAATTTAAAACATTTAAGGTATCTGTGTGTCCTTTTTTGGCAAAGGCTTTTGATCCCGCCATTCCTCTCTGCACTCTGCCATGTACCGATTCTTTCTTTAATTTGGTCTGTCTACCTTCTACGTTGTCTTTCTTTTTTGGCACTACTTTATTACTTTTTTGTAGTTTATAATTAATTATTAACTATTTATACTATTTTATATTGTTTTTATCTGAAAAATTTAACATCTCAATCACTCCAAAAGTTGTATAAGTGTATTGCGTAGAAATATTATTTCGTAAATAATTAACAATCTATTTCCACGCACAGTAGATAAGCACCGTAACAAGTAGGTGGGTGCTTTAACTTAATAAAACATAGGCCTTGATAATCCTTATCACTCAGAGTTGTTCGGTAATAAATATTCAAATTCCATGTGAATTGGGCTGCAAAGTTTTTCTTTCTGCCACGTATAGTATTTCAGAGAAAGACCCTATGATCCAAATAGTGAGTCCCGACGTAGCATTATTAGTACCAAATATCAAGAATGCTGAAGTTCGAAGTAATAGTTCGCGTTACGCCTCGATTCAGAATCTTACCTTACACATTCCGGTTTCTTCACGATATTTTCCTTGACAAGTGAGTTATGTAACCTAATATTTGTTTCGGATAAACAATAAACTATAAGCTCCCACCTTTTCAGAATGCCAAATCATAAAATGACTGATTCACGACTGATTTGAGAGCGACCGCCGATGCGAAAACCGCTGTGTGAGTTCGAAAAGTGAGTTACAGAATCGCAGGGCTGTTCCTACCTGTTCACCTCTGCCTCTTGGCGACGCCCTAGTATCCAATATGCCTTCACGCTAATAAATAAAATAAAAAATAAATCAGTGGCGCTACAACCTACATTTTAGGTCTTGGCCTCAGATTTCTGAATCTGTTCATTATCATTTTTAAATCTAATAGGCAAGTAGGTGTTCAACTTCCAGTGCCTGACACACGTCGTCGACTTTTTGGGTCTAAGACATGTCGGTTTACTCACGATGTTTTCCTTCACCGTTCGAGCAAATGTTAAATGCGCACATAGAAAGAAAGTCCATTGGTGCACAGCCGGGGATCGAACCTACGAATTCAGGTATGAGAATCGCACGATGAAGCCACTAGGCCAACACTGTTGTGTCTGCAATTAAAATGCTTGAAGCTGCAATTAGATACAATACTAACAAATGATTACAATAATAATTAAAGTATATATTTATTACAAATTTGGTTCCATTAAATCTGACAGTCGTTTACGTATATGTTCAATAGGAGCTGGTGCATCTATATTTGGATCATTCAATTCAACTGTGAGCCTTGCATCAAGCACTGCTCGGTCGAACATTCCAAGACTGCTCAAATACGGCGCTCGCCGATGCTCAGGGTGCTCAATCATCCAACGACAGTATTCCTTTACGCTTCTGTAAAAAATCGTTAATACGTCAAACAAGCTTGAAGTAATTCCGAACCAATTCGACTAAGGGTCCTTCATGAAAAGAGCGTATCAATTCTTAAAAGACCGGCAACGCACTGCTAGCCTTCTGGAAATGAGAGTGTCCATGGGCAGCGGTATAACTTAACACATTACATAGAAAAGCCTTCATACACACAAGTTGGATAATAAACACAAACTGGCTAACGCAAGACTGCTCTAAGCGTCTATGGCTGTCAAAGACAACATTTCTTATAACGGCTATAGAAACTCTTTAGTTATTAATATTTGTTTTATTTTATTTATGCTCTTAAACATCACACATACATAAAGACAAACACTTTCGAAAATTATTATAAATGAGTCCCGAAGATTCTGGCAGCGTTCCCCCTTTGCATAGCTAGACTAAATCTTTATCCGAGGTATATCTGCCAGCTCTTCGGTCTTCTGGGATGTCAACTAACCTTTTTGCTATTTCTTTATGAAAATATGTTAGAAAATATACATGTGTAAACACAAGAAATTAAGAAATCAGGCGCAGCGCTAACCAGATTTAGCAACTTTCTCACAAACGAGTAGCCCGCAATATCGCAGCACATATACAATATAAATACATAAATAGCAATTGGTTAGGAATATAAGATAGCAAGAGAAAGATGAAAATGTCCACTACCAAAACCATCATCTTGGGTAGATGATGTCTTTTTTCTAGTCTTTTCTTTCTCACACATTGATAGGTACATACTTAATTTCTTATAACACTTGTGTTTTATTGGTTGTAACACTAAACCTACTTTTTCTCAAAACTGTTTTACACATGTACCATGTACAACCGACTAATTGTTATCTAGTTACCCACAAAATAGAGACTCCCTAGTGTGAGGACTAGCGATAGATGAATTTTATCACAACCTTTTTGTCATAAATAAAGTTTTTATTATTTTATCTTCATAATGTACTTAAAATGGTAATCGAAAATGCGTGTTGCGTTTTGTATTGAAAAATTGCGTGTTTTTCCCATGAGAATGAAAGAGCGTGCACCTATTTCACCATGCCTACTGCTGATAGAGGAAAAATCTTTGTTTTTTTATTTATTATTATAGTTAATTACTTAAAGATGTCATGTGGAATTTGGTGTAATGGTTGCAGCTCCTTGCAAACATTTTATAAAACAAAAAACATGTTATAAAACAAAAAGAAGCGATTAAAAAGAGTGGCGAAGAGTTTATTGCCAGTTCTTCTCGTCCCTACGCCCTTGATTTGAGAACTGGCAGTTAATGCAAAATTAGATGCATTTAATATGTTATTCTTTATTGAATAGATTTTGAATTTAAAAAAAATGGCTAATATTTCTTGAAAAACCTACGGGCAAAAAATTAGCAAACATCTCTCCAGTACTTTTGCATTACTCTTTAAATATATTGTTTTCGTCGACATAACTCATTTGGTCAGGATATAAAATACGTTAAAAAGTGCGTTTATACCTTAAGTTTGTGATCCCTTCCCAGACGGTCTTCAATGTGACGAGGTCTTTAGGAACATGGCGTGCAGACTTCCACTGGTTTTTCGTGTCGTTCAATGGTGTACGCCATTGGTCACGTCGTGGTAGTGAACGTCCGAAGCATTTGACATAATTAGCCCGGCTCTCTGCTTTTATATCCTTCGATATTTCTCGGTCCAGGGCAGCATAGCGGGATTTCTATAAAGATGTATTGTATTAAACAAGACTTAATAGCAATATTCAGACTTTTCTGGAAACAAACAACCCCCGCACCACATCAAACAAAATGCAAACCTATATATAAGCAACGAAAAAAACGTTCTTTCTTCGCCCAACGCTTTTTCTCCTTCCGAGGCCCTTTCATCTTCAACCACTTCCTTAAAACAAAATTATCACTAACATTTCAAAACTCAAATTACATTCACTTAAAATTTCAAACAAAATCTTGTTAACCCGTTCTATGCTGAAACTGAAAATATTCTTATTGTGCAAAAATAGTTTAAATATAAATGTGTTATGTTGAGTTAAGTAAAATAATGTTTTCATGTCAAAAGGAAGAAACTGGCTGCCCATAACACAGGGAATCCTTGTGTGGTCTCTGTGGTCTTGTGTGGTCAGTGCACTTTACTTTCTTTTCTTTTCTTGTTTTTTTTAAATCATCAAATATTTGACAGCATCTGTTGCTGTATAATTATTGCCATACTCTACTAGGATGCGTTTGGTTACATATATGTTCTAATGTTTAATATATATAAGAAAAAATGACTTCACAAATTTTAAACACACATAAACATTTAGTTATATTAGAACATAAAAATTTCAACTAGGAAATTAAACACAAGCAAACAGCCAAAACTAAATAGAATTATAGAAACTTAAACCTCATTAAGAGTACAATACACGTTGACTGCTCACCACTACTTTAATATAAGGTATTTTGTGGAAGGAAATATAACACGTTATTTACTTTAATGTGATATTCTATATTCTAGAAGGTGATTATAACAATGCAATGGTAGTTCCATTTCACCCGAACACTTCAAATTCTAGGCTTTAGACTTCTGCGTCTTTTTCATACATTCGTTTTTAAAGACAGACGGCAAAAGTTCACATAAAAAATTAGGGTAAATATTCCGTATCGCAGCACCAGCGATTTTGAGGCAGATTTTTTTTTATGACTTCGTCAGTTCTCAGCACCATAACTAGTGTTGTTATGATAGCGCATGACCTTTTTTGCCAAAAAAAATTCAAAAAGTACCCAAAACCGAATCAGAGCACCCCACTATCCACGTGGTCTTGTCTGCCTTACCCCTAGAGTGTATATAAAAAATCGGAGGCGTGGAGGAAGAGCAGCCCCCACCCGCTGTACAGGCATTTGATGCCTGTGCTTTGGTACGCAAGGGCGGAGGGGCTGCATTTCTCGCAGCACCGGAGCTGTCCAAAAAAACTATTATTAATTTTGTTCGGATAGTATATAAATATATTTTTTAAATAAATTGAATTTTTTTTTTATGCGCCATCATAACAATACTAGTTGTGATGTTTACAGATCATAACGCGACTGTAAAACAGAAATCAGCCTCAAAATCGCTGGTGCCGCGATACGGAATATTTACTTAGAATTTAACGTAGAAGTTAATTATTATTAACACTACTAAGAGTAGAACAAATATGACCTAATTCAATTTAAACTGTTTATATAAAGCTTAAATATTATACCATAAAATTAACCAAGGATTTTTTTCAGAATAACGACAATATTTGTATACCTCCGTATTACCAGTGACGTTGGCGATTCTCTCATTTATTGTAGGTAGTTCCTTTGGTACAACTTTGAGACTTCTGGCTGCGTGTGTATCGAATTCAATCTGAAAATATATAATGAAAAACAAAGACTTTGAAGAGAGAGACAAAAGAGGATCTTAGACCAGTCTAATCACTGACTAGTCGGCCCGAAGACTCCAATGGCTAAGGTGTAAGAAGTTGTATTTTTAGTGGTTGGATTAACTTATTGCAAAAACTAGTCATAAATGTTCACAATTAGTTAATAGATTAATTTTTGGAGTAGAGATTCTTGGGTTCAAGTGGACAGGCGCTAATTAATGATTTAAGTAGGCGCCTGTACGATAGTACCGGTGACCCCAGAGATGGCGCTTTCCTCGCTCAACGAATATGTATCGCAATGCAGCGAGGTAATCATGCCAGCGTAAGGCTGCTGCCTCGAATTTTGCGGGCAGCGGGGCGGCAGCGGCGGCGGCGCGGGAGCGGCAGGATCTTATGCGTAAAATCAAATGGACCGGTTCTCGAAAAAGGGTGGAGCGCGGGGGGGGGGGGGGGGGGGGGGTTTGGCCCGCTCCCGCGCCGCAGCCGCCGCCGCCCCGCTGCCCGCAAAATTCGAGGCAGCAGCCTAAAAGTTACACTGCCACAGGGACCAAACTTTTTCATTTCATTTTTCTTTTTAATTATGTTTATTATTACTATGTAGGTTAAGAAATCTGTAAATATTGTATATTTGATTGTTACGTTTAGGTTTTAATAAACGATATATTATTAGTTACGACTGCATGAAGCGAGTTTGTTTATTATTACTAACGACTTTTTTGTCTTGATTGTGTACATTGTTTACGGCCCCTTTCAAAGCCCCTTCCAATACCCGAACATTACATACGTGTAAACCTCCTTTTTAAATTAAAAAAACTATTAATGAAACGATGATACCGACAGCGGTAAGCCAATTCGTTGAAGACAATTTAGAGAGGTGACCTATTTGATTAAGTAGTTTAATACATACCTGAAAAAGTTCTTTGATTGTTTTCGGAGTAAATAATTGCGACTGCTGGTCGCCTCCGAGCTCTTTCATATAATCACAGAATTGATTTGCAATCTAAAAACATAATACACCACTAGATTCAAGGGTCATTCGAATCGTGGTTGCACATGATTACACGTACAGCAAAGGACATTGGAACGAACAGGTTATGTCAAAAATCCACGAAGTGTGTCAGATAATAATTGAGAGATCGTAAATTACAATCTAAAAATAATTTCTATAAAGAGTTCTCCGATGTTAATTTTTAGGGGGCAATCAGGCTCACCTGATATTAAGTGATACCGCCGCCAATGGACACTCTTAATGCCAGAGGGCTCGCGAGTGTGTTGCCGGCCCTTCAAAAATGGTACGCTCCCTTGAAAGACCCTAAGTCAAATTGGTTTGAAAATACTTCATTGGGCAGATGGTTCCACATGGTACGCAAAAACTGCCTTAAATAACGCTCAGTTGTGGAACGACGTCCGATGATGAATCTCAGTTGCAGGTTTCGAACAACTTAACATTCTTAGGTTAAGTTTTTATATTTCTGCGTCCTTTTCATCATCAACACCAACAATAAACCATTCGTCGTTATAGAAGTGCGTTAACTATTAAAATAAATATTAAGAATGCATTCTTTGTTTAAGTAATAAAAAATGTATACTCTATTGGTAAGATCATCAGCCTTTTTGACCAGTGTCTTCTCATGTTCTTGTTCTGGTTGTAGGTAGCGTGTTGCCCACGTTATCTGCTCACGAATGGGTTTCCGGAGAAACTCTTGGTGGATGTTTGGACGATCATCTTCTAGCATACTATTCAGAAATAGGTTTACAAATTTAGTTTATTTTATTTTTGATTTCGGTAGAACAATTCGTATGCACAAAAGATAGGTAAGATAGAGTAAATTAATCAATAAAGGTTTTTCATTAATTTGACGATTATTACATGATCCTAATCCTTGGGATTGATTTGCTCCAGTTCAAACAATTTGTATGATTCAAATTTTGGCGATTAAAAAGAGTGGCGGAGAGTTTCTTGCCAGTTCTTTTTGCCCGCTCTACGCCCTTGACTTGCGAACTGGTAGTAAATGTAAATTTACAATTAATTTAACTTCTTTTTTGACGTTCATAAGTACTAGGTTACCTATATGAATAAAGTTATTTGAGTTTGAGATTAACTAAAGGCTAAAGATCCCATGGTAATAAAAACGGAACATATATGGGCATATAATTCTAACGAGTTTAAGCGCTGTTTTCTTATGTTTTGATATATTTATATAATGACACAATAATCCTACATACATACTTTACTATAATATCCAAAAACAAGAAATCTACAATCCTTCTGACTCGTTGAATGTTGTTGTATTTTAATTAATCTTGAAGGACTTGTAATATGAGATGTTTCTACGATTTTACATTTTATCTTATACTTATATGGATAAGATAATGTTATCTATATTAAGATAAATACCTGTGTATTTCTACGTCAGTATCGGAGTCTAATTCTCTATTAACGCTGAATGTTTTTCGCTTTGATAGAAGTGGATGTTTTGTAATCCTCCGCTGAGTTTCTGTAGTATAAAATAAATATATTCTTATTCTCATTAGGTCTCTAGGATTTCCAAAGCAATAGTAAAGCAAATAATGCTACAGAAGGAGTATGCAGAAATAGAGCGCAGCGTAACAACCCTTTTAAGAGATGGAAGAGGAGATGAGAGAAGGAGAACTATAGACAGGAAAGCGGGTCTCCTGCCACCTATGTCCACACTTTGTCGACGCCAAAGCGTGCACGAGGGTCTGTTTATTGCGGTCGTGTTGGTACTACCCAAGGTATTAGTGGGTATAGCTTACACGGTTCTCAGAGTAGCAGAGTACCTGGAGTGAGTTGATATAACCCTGCTGCATTTAGCCTACGGGGGATGCGTAAACCCCAACTTGGTATTAAAAAAAGGGCTCCAACATATGACGTCATAAGTTGTGAGTGTTTTTTAATTGCGCACTTAACACTTGTTCGAACGGTGAAGTAAGCATCGTAAATAATCTTGTATGCTAGGCTCAAAGAATATTGTAATGAATTATATAATACTCTACGCAACTGCATCTGATGATTTTTTATCAACCCAACTGAACTGTTACAAGTTCTTTATGTCTAAAATATATGACAATTTTTGTAACATAAATGTTTAAAGATAATCAAAATCAAATAAAAATACCAGCAAGTTTTGTTAAGCAGAAAAAAAATTACCAGCTAAACAGCGGAAGAGGTATAATAGGCATTTAACATTAACAATGCTCTCTTTAAAATTGATTATCCCGCTACCGAATTTATCCAGCCTTGGAGGATTGTTTAATCCGTAATAATCTCGAATAATTCAAAAGAGAGGTGCCTGAACTCCTAGATCGGTTGATGTAGACGGAATTTGGAAAATACTGCCGATTTTAAAAATTGTTTTTTTTTTTTTTTTAAGACAATTCACACCAATTGACCTAGTCCCATGCTAAGCTGGTGAAGCTTGTGTTATGGGTACTAGGCAACGGATATACATACATATTATTATAGATAGATAGATATAAATACATATTTAAACACCCAAGACCTAAGCACAACACCAAATGCTCATCACATCGATGTTCGTCTCAGCCGGGGATCGAACCCGGGACCCATGGATTCGCAGTCAGGGGTTACTAACCACTAGACCAATGAGTCGTCGTTGTTTGACTGTGTCCTAAAAGTAAGGTTAATTATTATGGTTCAAACTTAAGGTGAACATTTATTAGCACTTTACACCATCTTTTATAATATCTGTAATACATTGAAACAGGCCGACTGAGACTGCATTAACAGTTCACCTTAGCTTCGCTAGATGGCGCTCAAATATATTTTTGGGAATTTATGTACTTCGATAGCTATATTATAATTTAAATTTAAGGATAGTTTATTACTTTCGGTTAGTGATTATAAATTACCTTTTATTTCAATATCTGTATCAGGACATCTTTTAGGAACATGAATATTAAGAATGCCGCATACTTTGTCAAATAAGTCTTCAGGCAAAGCTTCCGATAAAACTTCCATTTCTCGTTCACTTATCTAAAAAGCAAATAGGTTCGACAATTGAAGACCAAACGAGAGGAGAGAATATGCAGATGTTGAATTTATTTATTTCGTCATCCTACACAGCAGACTACTAGTACTACCTATACAGCTAACATAAATTTAACAAAAAACAATTACACTAAAGATATAGCCAAAGAATGCATGATATATACAAAAAGGTTTAAAATTTAAATATTTACGAAGGGAAAAAGTCAATAAAAATTATCGAATACATTTAACTAAGTTATGCATAGTTCGGCTGTGTGATAGTGTGAAAGTGAGGGTGCATGTGGGGTGTTTTTTATGTAATATGAGGCAAACGGGGCAGGTGGCTCATCTCATGTTAAGTGGACACACATTGCGAGAAGGCTCGCAAGTGTGTTGCCGGCCTTTCAAAAATCGGTACGCTCATGCTGGGTAAAAAGGTTAGATTTCTGTTTAAAGCAATGGTAGCTTAGTAGATCATTCCAGCTCTGTTGGTTTTATTTGACTTTGAGCAAAGACCATTATCAAGCAAAGCATTTGAGGTTCTTCTTAAAGTGCCGTGCTTAAAAATGTATCGGACTTTGACATAGGGTAGTTAAAGTTTGCGTCTGTGACTAGACCCCAATGTGGATCAAGCACGTAAGGCGGATCACTTGCTTCCTAAAGAAAAATAATTGAAGCCAAAATATATGAAGAGAACACGCGTATTTAAAATGAATTGTTACTTACCGGTTCTGCACGATCGCTATCCATAGCATCAAAAACGTTTTTCCAATATTTTTTATTTGTATGTATCGATTCAGCACTTTCATATTTGGAGGATTTAATATTTAAAATGTTTCTTGGTCTCTTAAAACTCATTATGCGCCTACTAGATTTGTTATCACACGTTGCTATTCGTACAATGTAACTATGTTTGTAGTTTGATCAATATGCGGCTGTTATCATGATGCCTTCAATGGGTTATTTGATAATTTAATTAAAACTTATTTTGTAATATGGACGTTAGTTTTCTAATTAATAGTGTTATACGTTATATATTAGTTCCAAAATGTAACTCTTCAACTAAAATCAAAATTTCGTCGCAGTTTTAAAATAACATCAAGTTACTCAACAAAAATCCCACGAAATCTAGTTTTTAATCCGCCCAAAAATATTTATTCATCTATTTCTTAACAATATTTTATTTTTAATTAATTTTTAAGCTATTGCATAGATTTTATCGCGGGCTTTGAGCGCGGCGACCGAATCAAGAAATTCCGTAACGAAAAAACCTTACACACGATGACGTAATATAAGTGCGGCCAATACGCGTTAGTAGAGTGAGACAGACGATATAGGTGAGTCTGGTAGAGTGGTAGAATGAATTAATTTATCAAAGAAAAAAACTTAAATTAATATCAAAGCAAAAAAATACTGCATAAATAAATGATTATAATTGCATAAGTTGAAAAAAAATTATAACGCGGCAGTCCCCGAGTGCCACACGTTTTTTTTTTTATTTATCATATATTTTTACACAAGACTTCTTTACTTACACAGCTAATTGTTACTATTATTATTTTGTCTACTAAGTATTTTTCTTTTTTTGCGACTGAGGCTTAGCAGAATGTCTGGCAGAATGACCAGCGCTGAAGAACAGTCTGTTTCTCAGCATAATGCTGAGCCAGGGCCACTTACAACCACAACACACGAACGAACATAACCTTGTTGTTTAATTTTTTTTTATATTCCAAGTTTAAAGATATATGAAAACTTAAGCATGAGTGCTTGTGGGTGTGTGAATACGTGTAAGAGTGTGTGGAAGTTTAAAGTATTTAGTAATATAAAAAAAGTATTTAATTTAAAGTTGAAGTTTAAAGATGTATGATTTATTAAATTATGTTTAATTCTAATTTGAATCGGTGGATCCTCTCTGGGTTATTATTGTTAAATGGTATAGCTTCAATATACGCGACACTAAGCCAAGAGTAACATTCGTAAGTTTATTCAGACTGCACTCGTGTCAGATATCAGAGGCTAAACACAATATTATGGAACTGAAAGCGTCAACTTAGCATAACATTCCACCTCGCTATATTCACTTGTTATTTTTAAATGTCAATGTATTGATGCATTCAAATGTCGTTTAAACAAAAAACAAGGTTATAGACTTTTGTTAAAACTTCTCAAAGTATAGCAAGTAACTTTGGTTCTAATAAAGCTTAACCTAAGTTGCTTGCTTAAATACGCTAGTTTAAATAAACGAATCGTCAACGACCAATCCCTTTTCGAGTGGATGGATACCGTAGCGTTGCGTAGAGATGTGGTGACTCTTCTACCGCAGTTACCACGGAGAGTGTTCGGGGGAGTTGTTCGGATTAACCTGAAGCTGAATTTCATCATTCCGTGGAATGAATATGGAAGAATGAAAAGGCAGAATATGGAAAACCACCCCTGTCACCTCTACGTCCACTGTTCCTGAGCGTTTTTAAGGCAGTTTCTATCACGCACCACTGCTATGTGGAACCAGCTGCCCACTGAAGTATTTCCGAACCAATTCGACATAGGGTCCTTTAAGAAAAGAGCGTACCAATTCGTAAAATGCCGGCAACGCACTCGCGAGCCCTCTGGCTTTGAGAGTGTGCATGGGCGGCGGTATCAAAAGTAAAAAAGTAAAAAATCATTTATTCATATAGGTAACAAAATTAACACTTATGAACGTCAAAAAAGAAATATACAATAAATGCTTTTTATTTAACTTTTACTGCCATTTCTCAAATCAAGGGCGTAGAACGGAAGAGAAGAACTGGCAGTAAACTCTCGGCCACTCTTTTTCATCGCCAAGTTTTTTGTTTTACACAACGTTTGTAAGGAGCTGCAACCATTACACCATGTTCCACATGAGATCTTAAGTAAAAAATAATAATAAAATAAATTAAAAACAAAGATTTGTCTTAACTTCAGGTGAGCCTGCTGTCAGTCTGCCACCTGTTCTATTAAAAAAAATGAGAATGATTTTGGTGCTACTGATAATTGATATTAATTTAACCAGAAACAAAGATAAATATCAATGTTATCTGTCAACAAATGAATGCGTGGCTGAGTTTTCCTGTCTTCTGATATTGTTCGGAATTCACTGAATTACACTTCACGATTTGATGGCTATTTAATTAAAACCCTTATTGAACTTAAGACAATGGAATTTTAAACATTTTGTATAATTATTACAAATATATTTCAAAGGTCGGTCGGATTTACAATAAAACTGTGTTTTAAATGACTCTGTGGACATTATCAGCAACTCCATGGAGACCTTTTGCCGAGTCGTCTAGGTAATATAACGGCCCACTGAAGTATTTCCGAACTTATCGAGTTCAAGATAGAGCGTACCAATTCCTAAAAGGCATATCTGGCATTGAGAGTGTCTCTTAACTTCAGGTGAGCCTGGTGCCAGTCTGCCCCCTGTTCTTTAAAAAAACACAGCCTTAAATACACATCAAGTGACGACAAGAATCACTAAACAATTAGACATTTTTAGCTAGTCACATAAGCTTTGTGTATGTTGGCTTATTTAGTAATAAACCGTCTCCATTAACACCCGCCGAAAGACGAATGATGACTTAATAATTTGTGTAAAGGTTAACACGCTCCCCACATTAATCTTAACTCAGTTTAATGTACCTCCCAAATTCCTGCAATTGTTAATTGTTTAGATTAATTAAATCCACTTATCACATCCACTGTTTTCCGTACATTATTAAGGAAAATAATGTTTATATTTATCAATTATTATGGCAAGAATCTTTGCGACTTCAACAACTGATTTATGCACCTAAAACTTGCTTAAACTACCTAACTCAAACTGAAAATAACTTTATTCATTACACTTATGAACGTTAACAGAAAAGATGTTAAATTAATTCTAAATTTACCTTTACTACCAGTTCATAAGTCAAGGGCGTAGAACGGGCAAGGAGAACTAGTAAGAAACTCTCCGCCACTCTTTTTAATTGCCAAGTTTTGAGTCATACAAATTATTAGAACAGCCCTGCGATTCTGTAACTCACTTTTCGAACTCACAGAGCGGTTTTCGCATCGGCGGTCGCTCTCAAATCAGTCGTGAAGCAGTCATTTTATGATTTGACATTCTGAAAAGGTGGGAGCCTGTAGTTTATATATTATTAGAATGCCAAATCATAAAATGACTGCTTCACGACTGATTTGAGAGCGACCGCCGATGCGAAAACCGCTGTGTGAGTTCGAAAAGTGAGTTACAGAATCACAGGGCTGGAGCAAATCAATCCTAAGGATTAGGATCATTTAAATAATCGTCAAATTTATAAAAAGTTTTATTGATTAATTTTCGTTAAACGAGAATTTTGAATTTATTCAGTGATAATTGGCTTATTTCGCTTGGGAGTTTATTGTAAAAACGGATACAATTTCCGTATAAGGAGTGGTTTATCTTCTGGAGCCTGGTTGGTCGAACGCTTAAATTAGTTCTGTTTTGAGTGAAAGTGATTGTCACCATTTGTTTTACAGTCGTTTATATTTTTTGTACATACGACAAGGCTTAAAGAATATATTGACCAGATAGTGTAATAATAATTAATTCCTTAAACTTATGTATGTATGTAAATTTACAATGATATAAAAGATTGTTGCAAAAAATCTTGACTAAAACCATCAAAATATACAATATATATTATATATGCCTGCTTTATATCAACTTAAATAAAAATATTTACTATATAAAGAGCGAATAACAGTTGTTACAATTATAAGGGAATATCCAGCAGTTTTTCAGTTTCTTGGTTACAAATAGGCAAAAATATAAATATTTATATTTTATACTAGACACTTACTTACTAATATAGACATATAATGTATAACTCGGCGTTTCTAGTATCAAATCGTAATCAAAAAGTTTTTGTTTTAGACCTCGCATAAACAAAGTACCATATTCACTTCATTTACAGCTAAAATATTTAATACCACCTCGGTTATTATCATAATTAAAAATATTATTATGTAACAACGTTTAAACACACAGCAAACGTGAACAAATGTAATGGGGACCGCCGAGGTATTGCAAGCAATTTGTGATCTCAATTCAAGCACATTCTCGTTTCACACCTGTTTAATTTAAATACTTGAGTCTTAATACATATACGTTGTGTACTTAATGAACTGAACGAAAATAACTAGTGCAGGGCTCAGATCTATAACAATAACACTACTACTACTCAGTTCTTGTATTATATTTGTTAAAAAGATTTGTCGTTTTATTTCTTCTACAAAACGTGGTGTACAAAGAAAAGTCTCAACATTCAAGTGATTATTTTAGAAACAGCAATCAGCTTTTAATAATCGTATAATAAAACTGAAGAGTTTTCAATTATATTTTGATTTAAAAAAATATATATGTTTACTAGCTGACCGGGCAAACGTCGTTTTGCCATATATATCATTTATAATAAAAAAAAAGGGGTTGATCGTAGAGGGGTGAAAATTAGGGGTTGTATGTATTTTTTAATGCTGTATCATAAAAAAAGAAATATCTAAAAATTTAAACAAAATAATTTAGGGGTGGACTACCCTTAACATTTAGGGGGATAAAAAATAGATGTTGTCCGATTCTCAGATATACCCAATATGCACACAAAATTTCATGAGAATCGGTCAAGCCGTTTCGGAGGAGTTTAACTACAAACACCGCGACACGAGAATTTTATATATTAGATTATGGAACATAAGATACATGTATCACTTATTCCACGTCATTAAATTTGAATTTATTCCCAGGCCCTTTTATCAACTTGATAATCGTTAACTTTATAGTAAGCCTATTTACACAGCTTTTCTTTAATTTATTAAAAGGCAGAGATAAAAGAGCCTCTGGGATTTTATTAAAGAAGAGTATCCCTTTCCCCAAAAAGAATTACTAACTTTAGATAGTCAGGGAAATTGCAGCCTGCGTTTGTTCCTAGTATTAAAACTGTGTTCTACTGTTTGTACGCACTATCTTTTATTTATATATCAGAAACTACTTCGAATAGAATAATATTTTTTTATTGGATAGCTCGATCACGCTACGTTACTAAACGTTTAAATACATGGTTAAAATTAATTGTGATGTGACAGCATTCAATCATTTTACGATCACTTTATTTTAAAAAATTGAAAAAAAGTTTTACAAACCACTTTTTATTGTAATGTTGAAGACGAATCATAAATAAATTAAAATAAATTTTGAGCTCATTCACAAGATCTTCAATATATCCTTGAAACAATTTATACTTTGTTGTCATAAGATTCATCCGTAAATAATTGCAACAAATTAGGTCGTTCCCTCATTAATCGTTGTAAAGATATTTTTCTTTTGTTCAACGCCATATTTATATCACTTGATGACTCTTTGACTGTCGAATGAAATTCGTAAGTGCTTGCTTTACCACTTACTGCACATGTGCATGGGTATATAACTTTATCGCTTATGGTTTCTTGACTAGAGTATTGTGTTTCAACAGTATGATACGGTTCTTTGGTTGCAGAAAACGGTAATTCTCTGTAAACCACTTCTTTTGGTTGAATCATATCGGGCGATGCAACCCTCTCAGGTCTTTTCCCCAATATAGCCGTCACCCGATTATAATTCTCCTCTGTAAAATCTAAATACAAAGGCAAAAAGGGAAAGGAGTCCTGTCTAATCAATTCATTACATTTTCGAGCTGGGCAATCTGGAAGCCGTCTATAATGTTCACAAAGTAAAAGTTCATCCGAAGATTCAGTTTTAGTTGGAATATTAACTTCTACAGGAACAGCATCTGTGCTCATAGCTTCGGCAAGTGAAGGTGATGGAGTTGGATACTTATCACATCTGCATACTTGGGACTTTAGAAACTGCTTTATGTCCTCATATCCGTGACATCTGGCGTACATATACTGCCTCTGTAGTCTAATAAATGGCAATTCTACATCAGATGTTAACGTTTCTCTACTTCCATAACGTGGTGGAACAGGATCTGATAAATCTCCTATTAATATAAATGGCTCCTTATCGCAGACTGTTGGTTCTTTGTCACATTCTTGAAATTTAAATAAATTTATTAATTCTTTTTCATCTACAAGTAGAGATGGTGCATATTCAGGAGATTTCTGTATTTCATTCAATTGTAAAACCACCATTTTCTCTAAATCAAGCAGGAAAGTAGATTGTTCAGGTAATAATTTTAGTGAAAAACCGACGAATTTGAGGAAAAGTTGTAGTACTTTTGTTATCTTTTCTTCCCACTCTTGGTTGATATTGAAAAATGGAATTTCTTTTTCCTTAAAAGAATCAATTATTTCCTGATTCTCCTTAAGTTTCGCAATTTTTTCCATAATCTCGGCTTCATGGTGATTTTTTAAAAGTAAATTTTTTATTATACACTTTTTACGTTCTAAACTCATTACGTACATAGAACTTGTAAATTTTTCAGCCTCTGCCTGCCTTAAGAAAGCTTGTATTGCATTGTTTCTTTCATGAAGAGCTTGACAAATAATAGTTTCATTTCGAAAGACTTCATTGCGAAACAGATATTTATAATATGTATTTATTTTCTTAACTTCCGATAAAAGCCTTCTTCTTAAGACATCTTCAAGTTTTTTCTTCTCAATTTTTAATTTTTGTTTAATATCATTATTTAATCTTGATATAATATTAGCGTGAGTACTGGATAAAACAGTTTGTATCTCAGTCCGCAAATGAGCTTCTAAATCTTGTAAAGTACCTTCATAGAAATTGGAGATTTCCTCTGCCATTACCTTACTCTTTTGTTTGTAAATATTGTCATAAATTAGCCTAACCCTTTTGACCACCGTTTCTTTTTCATGTTTAAGTATATGTTGCCACGATGAATCATTTTCTTGTACCAACTTAGAGAGGGATTTCAGGAATCTTGCACGCTCACGTTCTAGCACTGAGTTAGCTATTTGCAATATTCCCTCATGAGTTTTACCACGATTGATTTTTGATGTAAAAGGAGGCTTCAACTCTATTATACCGATAAGTAAATCACTAGGTGAAATCCAATCACTAACATCATCTTGCTTAATGGATTTCCTTCTTTTTAGATTTGCTTTATCCTCTGTTTTGATTTCAATAAACTTATTTTCACAATATTCATCGTCAAAATAGATTTCAGCATACGTGCTACTTACTCTATTTTCGTGTAGCCTAGTATTTATTATATTATGTTCCATATTTTGTATTATTCAAATACTATTTTAAGAAGGCTTTGTAGAGTAAAATTTTCTAAAATACAATTTTTGTGAACTGAAATATTATGTCAATCTCAATGTCAATTTTCTTTTTTATTAATACCGTAGATTAACACCAATATACCAATTAAATCATGAATGTAAACTTGCGTGCCTATAAAACCGTCAAGTATAACTATAGTACTCATTTGTCTCTTTTCAACCCAGCGTAAAGACAATTTGACAGAAAGAGATCAAAGTACTTTAGTCAATGAGACCTGGATGCCAGATGGCATACACACACACACAAGTAACATAAGCTATGACAACCTACTTGTAATAGAAATAAGTCACAATAAAACAAATGCAAAAAAATATCTTTATTAAATATTTTCTTTTAGTATCTTCAGTAAAAAACATGGCAATTAAAAAGTGTGGCGGAGAGTTTATTGCCAGTTATTCTCTTCCGTTCTACGCCCTTGATTTGAGAACTGGCACTAAATGTAAAATTAAAAGCATTAATATCGTTGATAGAGTATAGAACTAGATGAGCTTCTACCAAACATCTTTCATCGGTAAGTAGCTTACTTTGTCACGACTCAGAAACTTTGTTCAAGAATTATTAATTCGAATGTGTATTTTGGTCAATAATAAGCAATCTTCAATGAATTAAAACTGTAAATATGACATATGTCGATCATTCGCTATCTCACATGCTGTACGCTGATGCCGGGTCTATACCATAGTCCGTCTACGATTAATATGTATTTCTTTACTGACAAGTCAAACCTAAGTGTACACTGTGTTACCTATATGATTAAATGATTTTTTAATTTTAAATTTTGAAATCAGATTCCTAGTTTTACAATATAATTTTAATCACCATATTAAAACACGCTATTTTTTATCATAATAATTCCTTTTCATAATTATAACAAAGTGACTGTGCCACGAAATCTATTGCCCCATAAAAACCATTTTTCTTATTCGCAAGACGCTTTCGGCATTTAAATGGACGTGTAGACAGCCTACCTGTGATTAGTAGAGGTGATGCAAAGCGTACCCCACCGCCTGATTTAATTAAATACTTCCCACCCACTATTTTCACCTAACGTGCTTTCCTTGAAACCAGTAGGAGCCGTAAATATTTCTTACTGCTTTGGGCAAGTTCATCTACGTATATCAGACTAAATTCATGTACACTATACCATAAGCAGAAACCCAAAAATAGGTTTAAAATTTGACGCATAAATGTTTATGTATGTTTAAGAGTAGCTCTTCCGTCAACTGCATGGTTGAGGGCGCAACTGATTCAGATTTAAGGTTGATCTGTGGTTAAATTAGTAACTGTGGTTAGTTGTAATCAGATGACTGAGATGTCTCATAAAAAATACCTCGACTAGACTAAACTCGGCATCAGTCGATTTCCAAAAAGATATTCACCACTTGTAAATAAATACACTCATTCACACTTAGAACATTTAACCATTTTTCTTCTTCAACATATTGTATTGGCTTAGTATTGTATCTTTGTGAACAATTAAATAAATATCATCACATTTTAGAATTGGTTATATTTATAAAACTTTTTCTATCACTTTTTGCTCATATTTAGTGCCTTTTTTGAAGAATGGTGGCTGCAGTTAATAATAATATTCCTATTAGATAAAACAGACCCATTTTAATTAGTAACTTAAAGACTAATTTTCGTACCAATATCAACAACGAATAAAAATAAATTAAAAATTAAATAAATAAACAGCCTACACAAGTGTGTGCGTCTCCATTTGCGGCAGTACAGCTACCCCATAATGCGCTCGCGTAGAAGCTAAGCTTGGAAACCAGCCGCTTAATCTGCACTAATAAGGAACACAAAATATGAAAATTCAAATGCCAGCAAAAACAGTCAATCCATTATCTAAACCAGTTATAATAAATTCGTGCATATCTATTCTCATTGGAGTTTTGTAATAACTCAGTCTCGGTTAAAATTATTTCCGCTGGCTCTGATGAGAAAACTAGAGGCGAGTTGGAAATGTAAGTATTCGAGCAACAAGCCGTGGAATAACGACGCTACATATTTCATTCTTAACGAAGTTAAATTTCCGGTTCTGTAAGAGCGTGCGTAACTCAGATAAAAGGATACGGTGTCACAATAGCGCTTTTCTATTTGGAGGTGCTAAATAACCCTTCAGATTCATATTAGATTTACGCCACTTTCTGGCGTTACTGTTTAGATTTATGCAATAATAATTTATTTGCTAAATTTGACGAAAGAAAATTGAAAAGTTTGGTCCCTGTGGCCAACTTTTAACGCTGGTAGCATTTGGTCGCTTTATTGACATACTTATTCGTTGAGCAAGGAAAGCAGGGATAAGGAGGGAGCTTGTAGTTTATTGTTAATCAGAATGCCAAATCGTAAAATGACTGTTTTGCGATTGATTTGAGCGCGACCGCCGCTGTGAAAACCGCTGTGAGAGTTCGAAAAGTGAGTTACAGAATCGCAAGGCAGCTCAAGGGTCATCGGTACTATCAACTTAAGTCTTTAATTATTTTCGTTATTACTATGTAGGTTAATAAAATTGTAAATACTGTATATTTGATTGTTAGGATTACTCATAAACGTTATATTTATTTGCAAGAATAAGGTACAAACATATGATAGTGGTACGATCTAAACTTGTATAGTCTACCACACATAATGGCGTGCAAATGTCTTACGTATTTAATAGTTTCTATTGAATATTTTATTTCGTAAATATTTGAACGTTTTTGTATATATTATGTTTTTCAAATTTGGCTATATCTTTAGTATATTTTTTATTGTATATTATGTATGTTAGCTGTAGGATTATGAAATAAATAAATGAAGTTGAAAAGTCTTGTTTTCATCAGTAATCTAACGAATTAGTATTTTTCCCCTAAATAAAAAGTAAAAATACAATCTCCATTCTGGTATCAGACAACCAATCTCCAACACGTCGAAACTTGTGATATATTCACAATAAAAAGAACAGCCATAACTTACGATTCGTAAACAACTTGAATTGTTTTTACATCATATCGTTATCTGGCAAAACTTAATTCTCATGAATAAAACATGGCGTCGAAAGTTACCAAACTCGGACACACGTCGATTAGTCAAACTAAACTTACGGTACATTAACTTTGCAACATATCACTTAACTTATCGGGGATACTTTGACTTTTGGATAATATTTTGACATATTTTGAGAGTGTGAAGCTTTATTTATTTATTAATGTTCTCCACTTATATAATGTTATATACAGTATATGTAACAAGCTATCTTTTCTCAAGTATTTGACAACAATGTTACAAAAAATAAAAATACAATAACGAATATTCACTTAAAGTTTTTACTAGTTATATTTTGTTTTATGTAAAGCAAAAAAATATTAGCAAAACAGCGGATTGGATATCAGATAGGCACTTAACAATGCTTTTTTGAAATTTAGTAGTTAAACGATAAATCTTACATCAGTTATTAATTATTCGTCGCAAAACTGTACAATTAGAATTATTAATAATGACAGCAATTGCTTTGAGCTTTCGAGCGATCACTGTACGGAATAATAATAATTAATTTGCAAGAATATGGTATATTTTATGGTTGTAAAATCAAAATTCCGCATATTCTGCTACACATAATGTGCAAATTAGTTTTACATAATTAAAAGGTAGAATTTTACGTTGTAGTTACATTATTAATCATATCATCATATGCTTATATTATTTTATTACTACATCATCACATTAATAAAATGTAGTATCAAATTAATATTTATGATAATGTTTCACTCAAGTAATCATTCATATTTTAAAAACTCAAGTAAGAGGATCTATGAAATAAAGTATTCACAAGAAAAGCAAATCTACATAAGATCAGCATTTGATATGAAATAAATAAAAACAATATGTGTTCTAAGGTCCCTTTTACATTGACTTATATGTAGAAGTTGGACCGTAAAAATATTTCTCTGACACACTCTTTCCGCTGGCTCTGCTTCAAAATGTGTCTTGGCCTACGAAAGGAGAAACTTACACCACCCATTTATATGTGGCAGAACTGAAGATGGGCAGGAATAATATTTTGCCAAGGACGCCTACAAAATAATTACTATCGAGTAAGCCAGAGGCCGACGTCATGCTTCAACGTTCTTAGACCATAACGAAGTTTGGATGTATTTTAAGTAATTATAACATTGGACATTTATTTATTTATTTACAGCCTAGACACGGCCAAGTTTTAACTAATAATATTATAATACAATAAAGTCAATTTTATAATATTTACAGAAAACTTATTGCTATATTTTAAAATCATAGTATTTATGTATCTTACGCTTCACAAATAGGTCCGGTTTCCGGCGAAGAGTCGAGAAAACTAAATAGAGATATACAATGTAAGTCAAAGTACCCGTGTATCATAATCCTTACAGAAAACAATTATAAAGAAGTCTAGACGGTGGCGACGAAGCTGGGACTTGAAGATAAAATAGTCCGCAAAATTATGCCTGTTATAAATCGTTGTTGCTGTTAAATTAGGCTTTTCTCTGAACTACGACTGTTATACCAAGAGCGTCTTATTCTGTAACTTCCTTCATACAATTTTTTATATGATAGGGCAAACGAGTCTACAAATCTAAAAGTCTAAAAATCCAGTGGCGCGATCATTTTTATTTCATTGACAAGTAGGTGATCAACTTTCTGACATATTATGTCGATTTTGTATTTGACACAAGCCGAGTTCCTCACGATGTCTTCACCGTAGAAGCGAATTTTATCCATAACTTTAACTATTATATATCCAATTAATATATATATATATATTTGTAAATCTACATAATTTTGGAACAGACAAAAAATTTAGGTCAAGCATTAAAGGAGTTTAATTACAAACACAGGCGCATAAATCTTATTTAAATATAAAGATGTGTCATTCAATGTTGTTCCCTATATTCTGTCTTCTTTCGTGTTGTAT